GTTCTTTTTATTTCAGGGCTCTCATCAGACAGATCGATAATGAATATATTCCTAGTCCACCACCGCCTGAAATGTCTCTTTTCATCTTGAGAACTTATTTTAAATCGCCAACCTCGTCCACCTCTTTAGAAGCAAGGATTTTGTTAGATTAAATTTTTCTACACATTCTTTTACAGCAAAAAATATAAGTAGTTTTGAGAGGAAAGTACCTGGTAAATAATTAATGTTATAAACTCCACATTTTTACAAATTTATCCTAATAAAACAAAATTAAAAATTTTGTAGCGGATTGCTACTTTATTAAAGCCTGACTGACTCAGAAATCTCTATGGCAGATTCTCCAACATCTAGCTAGACTCCCAGAACCAGCTAAGCTATAGCCCAGCTATAAAGGTAACAGGCATGTAGCACGGAGCACGTTTATTCAGTACAAGTATATTGCGGATAGTGGACACGCAGGGAGCTACTCATGATCAGGATGGGGGATTAGGTTAAACAGAGGTTGATGATTGGTCACTGTTTGTACGGTCGCTGCACACAGAGTTGTACGGCCGCACCTCCCAATCCTGGCATTCAGACATGCGATGACGTGCCCACAATTTCACTGTGCTCCAGATTATTATTAGTAGTGTTATTTCTTAGAGTTATTCAAAGAATTGTTGGTTTATAAATTTGTTATTAATTCGTTATTTATTAAATTTATTAACAATATTCTCTTCCTACTTTACTTTCTTTTAGAAAGTAAACTCCTCGTTTCGAAATTATTCTCTCCAGGTTGCTACATTGGAAACCTTATACAATGAGCTGTTGAATTTTTCGCAAACTCATCCTAATTTCACGGAAAGAATTCCAAATTTCAGTCTTCTCCTCTCAGGTATTAATAGACAAAGGGAATTGGCGAATAAAATTCAAGCGAATATTGTTATTTTAAAGGATGAGGCAAAATTCAATTCCTCTCTTTTCAAATTCATTGTCTCCATTCAGCAAGCTATTGGTGTAGGTTGGATTGCTTTAATTGCATTAGTCGCTACAAGTCGCTCAGATTCAGTTCTACTTTTAGACTCTTACTTCTAAACCAACAATAATGAATGAATTCACAAAGCAGAGCAATAAATTGGTGGATTTTATTACAGACTTTGTTAAAAAGGAAGGAAATAGCACTTTCAGTCGCATAACTAAACTGCTAATGCCCTGCTTCAAAGCACATGAGGCCTATTCAACTGTTGTGGACACATTGTGTGGTGAAACTGGGATAATTTATCGCCTAATAGGCGGCATCTCCGTCTTGGCACTCAGCGTCCTTCTATTGCTCATTCTTTATTTTGCCATCTTCAACTTCGTCTTCCTCCAGTTTGTGCTCATAAGAATGGACAATAAAAAGTAATATGTTAACTCCAGTAAATGTATGATGTATAATGTGTTTTCTTTAAAGTGGGAATTCGTTCTATTTGCTTTTAATATTCTATCAGGTTGCACTGAATTCTAACTGATTTTAAATGGGATTATTTCATGTACAATTATCGATTTTTATAAAATCATCAGTGTCTTTAGGCAAGGACTTATTGGTGAAATTTCCGATGGATAACAAACGTATAATAGTAATTAAATTTCTTCGAATTCGATTTTCTTCTTTTCTCGAGTTCATTCTGTCATTAAGGGAAAGATTTTGTTCTGAAATAATTAAAATGCTAAAGGATTGAAATGGGCAACTTACACTTAACTCAAGATTACCCTGCTATTTAACAAGGTTAAAAAATAATGATAAATTCCAAATTCATTTAAGAATTCATTTATCACCGCTCATCCTTGGTAGGGGATGAAATTATGGAGTAGACCCAGAGAGGAGATTGGCTTAACTTCTGGAGTTGGTTATTCTGCTTATTAATTGTGCGCTGGTGGAAATCGAGCCCGTGACTTCCGATATTTCCGACCTACGCTATGGCCAGTGTGCAAACCGACGCACAAAAATGGCAATTGTATAACCACTTTCTGCAACTCAATACTGGCGGAAATAATAATGGAGACTATCTACCAGCACTGTTCATTGCCATATTCTATCACTCTAGATTTTGCAACTGTAATTAATTTTCATATTAGCTTTCCAGCATTCCTCTCGAATTTTTCATCATAATCAACTACTTGTAAAATTAAGTAGAGTTGTTTTACTAACTATTAAATGTTTTTAAATGTTGGAATTATAAATTTAAAAATGTACATGTAGGGTTAGTTTGCATGCTCCACTTGCATTAAATAAATTGAGCTAAATCAATTATAACTGTCTTTGTTTTACCAAATTCATCTCTAACCAGACACAAAGAACCCAAATCGAGTTTCATATTTACCCGAATAAGAGGACATGCCTTCGAATAAGAAGTTAAGTTACTAATTTTGCGAAAGGTATAAAACGAATTAGACAGATTCGGATTATATAGAAACTTTTGTTATCATGATGTTGGCATTGTACCGATTCCTGTTTGCGTCAAGCGGAACGAGAATGTGGCGACTGTTAATCCATTCGGGACATTGCTACGATTGCTCAGAGGCACATGCGTGTAACAGAGATTGTGCGATTTACTTTGATTTGACAATGAACAGTGTTTATTCTCATAAGAAGGCATTGGTGGGTAAAGTTGTAATGACAGATTACTGTAATAGTTAAGAGTCAACTCAGAGCAGAGCATTTCCAGGTATGTTTCCAAATCACAGATAAACTTTCACTCAGATCACCCCTCTTGATCCATTAGAGTCATATTGAGTGGAGTGGGGGGGGGGGGGGTTGGAAACAAAACAGTGTCCTTTTGTTTTTATCGTGGTCACGATTATTCGCCTCCATTCTTGCATATGCAACTAAACATCCTTTAGATTTCAAGGCAAATTACTTTTTGTGTAATTTGAATTGGGCTCAAGTTGATTGATTGATTGATTGATTGATTTCAACTTGAAGGATAGGTTGAACATACAATAGCTCATTTACTACACGCTTTTTGCTTTACTTCTAATTGACCCATCTGTTTTACTCTATTGTTTCGAAAATTTAAACAACAACTTTTTGTCAGACCGTGAACATTAAATTCAACAATAGAATATTCAAAACATGCTTTTCAATAAATCTCAGCTAATTAATTAGTTAGCATATAGAGTGCGAGTTTTCGAAGTATTCCTACCACTCCCTTACGTTTATTGATTTCAATTCTTACATTTAAGTGAAATTTAAAAATTTGTTAATGGGATGCCATTGTCATATATTGTTTCAGTTCATATAAAGGTAAAATAACGTAAAAAATTCAATGGAAAAAACTAATTAAATCCAATCAATAGAGAGCCCATCAAGAAACAAAGTGGCAGTGTAGGACATGATATTTGCGAAAAAGGGGTGTGTGATAGACTTACCTCCACGTGGTGCACCCTCCGCAACGTATACTCATATGGCAAAAAGTCTATTAACCGGCAGTTGACTTCTGACTTCAGCAAAAAGTCTATTAACCGACAGTTGACTTCTGACTTCAACTCATATGGCAAAAAGTCTATTAACCGGCAGTTGACTTCTGACTTCAAATTACTCTGACACCACTGTATGTCATATTCGACCACTTCCGGAGTACTCATCTTACCCTTTCTCTGCCTTTGTGTCTGCCTGTCTCTTTTACATTTGTGAATCACTCTTCTATTCCCCCTCTCGAAAATTTCTCATTTTGATGTTCCTCCCCTCCGTGAAGCTCGAAGTCACCTAATGGGCTAATGAAAACTATCAAAACTTCTGCCACTTTAAATATATAGATTTATTTATTTATTTCAAATGGCAGGTATTGCAAAAGAACTAACAGCGTCTGGTTATTGGAGTTGGGTTACGAAATATTTACAAAATGTACTTTGATCAAATGGTGGGCATTATGATAGTTATCATTAGCCCTTTAGTTGACTTCAGGCTTCATAGAGAGGAAGGAACATCAAAGAGAGAAAAAGTCGAGATGATGGGGAGGGGGGAACAGAAGAGTGATTCAAAGATGTAAAAGAGACAGAGGGAGACAGAAGAGTGATTCAAAGATGTAAAAGAGACAGACACAAAGGTAGGAAAAAGGTGAGGTGAGTACTGTGAAGTGAGAAATCAACTGCCGATTAATAGACTTTTTGCCGAATTAGTATACGTTGCCAGGGGTGCACCACGTGGAGGTAAGTCTATCGCACACCCCCATATTTACAAAATAGGTCGATCATTTTCGAAAATTCAAATTTCCTGTTGTAACACCCAAATTAACGACTTTTTTAAATATATTTATTAAACCAGAAAATTTCAACTCGTTTTTCCTTCAAAGGTAGGGAAAGCAACAACCAGTTTATCTTAAGCTGAAAAATAGCCTTTAATTCAAGTGAGGAAATGTTTGAAGCACTTAGTTAAAATTTAATGTAAATAAATACGTATAATTTTGAAAATTCTCGAAATATAACCCGTCAAGGCACATTGGCCATGCAAGTGGGAAGTAATTTGGGCGTAAGCGTGTGATTACATGGGTTAGCGATTGGCGATATTAACAGCTTAATGAGCATTGAACTTGACAAAATTTAGTTCAATTTATTCGAGTTTGAATGGTTAAGTAGTTTATTTGAAAATTGGTTGTTTTGTAGAACTAATGTAGTTGGCAGGCCTAATCGTTAAATCGAATTTTAAAATTTTTGTCCTGTGTGGAATCGCTTCCGATGGCTATTCGAATTTCGTAAAAGTTTCTCAAGAGATAACGGTTGCTTCGAGTATGGAATTAGGGCTATTGTCGACTGATTGATTTATTTATATAATGTACCTAAATTGGAAACCAATTGTCTTATGTGAGCGGAGTCACACGTTGTTAGCTTTACCTGGATTGGTAGAAAATTGGATTTTACCACGCCAGAGATAAGAGTGGCCTAATTGCCATTGGCAGAGCAGTTGTCAAACGTGAGTTATTAAAAATTTTCCCGCAAACATCCGTTGAAAATATCACCATCTATTAGCCTATCTTGAATGAAGGCATCATGCAGCTTCGTTTTTAAAATGCGTTCATTTTATCACTACTAACTTAAAGGGAAACACTTTTAACTTAGCAGGACTTGTTGGTGAATATCGTCTAGTAAAACGCACAAAAATCAATAGGACAATACCCCACATCAACACAAGTTTCTAACAGAAATAAATTATATAAAAGTTTCACTCTATTTGCAATTATTATTATATAGCAAGATCTTTGCTTGCAATTTCTATGGTCATCATTATTTGCAATTTCTTCATTTTCTCTTTTATAAATTTTTATGCAATCATTTTGATACAGGTAGCACCTAGAAGCAATTGGCTGTTAACCATATATAGCGTTACGGGCACTGAAATGCAAGGTTTTACGAGGCTACGAAACAAGGCCACAGCAACTACTTTCGACGTTTTGACGTGTTTATTTTCACTGCTTGCCAAAGCGTTGTAACTTCGCTGTAGAATTTTAAAATGTAGGTTAATTACATTAGTGAGAATGTGTCCAGGACCACATTTGTTGTGATTTCATTATTATTATTATTATTATTATTATGATTAATTTGTTTAAGAGTAAAGAATTCGCATTTTAATTAAATGCGTCAATTAGTGATATAAATTCCATAACTTATATGATTTTCGACTTATAACTGTTGAAGCACCATTGTGAAAAAGAACTCCAAGTTGTGAGCAAAATCTGCCCTTGCCTTATCCGAAACATATCAAGTGTAATCAAATAAGATTATGTCCAATTTAATTACTTCAATGCTGATTAGATTGGGGAATACCGACTAAAGAATATGTTAATTTTCTGTTTCTTGTCCTTTCACAATAAAAAATTGTTCAAACTCAATGTTTTTTTAAGACTGGCTCACGTTCTTCTCTATTAAATTGGTGCAATGCCTCCCCCTCCCTTAAGCTGAAAGACTTCCGTTAGCAAGAAGAGATTTTGTTTACCAAACACTCTACATTAGCATCTAAGTGGAAAAATATTTCCGCTTTAATTCATTTCTACCAATACTTGCAACCGCTCCAAGAAAAAATATTAAACATCACTTGTGGAATACTCTAAGGTCATAATTTTTATTTGCTTCAGGACTACACTTGTCCTTAAAGCGACCACACCAATTTCACCCCAATTCGCAAAATGGCACTCCAGAATCAAGCCCACCCAGGCCAGCTAACTTGACATAGTCGACCAGAGAATAAATGTTCGCCGAGAAAGCATTCGCATTAGCATATGCAGCACCCGATTCCTCTAGCCAGGCGACATTCGACCTATCAAAGCTTTCCACTGATTCCTCAAGCTAGAGCAACCTTAATATGCTTAAAATTGTGAAATTTGCTGTGAGGCCTACTGCCTGCGAAATGTATCCGCCTACAGAATATATTCGTACATATATAATAAATACACAAATATATAGAGTCAGACACAGTGCATCTCCTACCAAGTTTTAAACTAAACACAAACCCCAGCTCAAATTCTTAAAATGGCGGGAAAATCCAGAGTTTGGGAAGTCCAAAGCACGCGGGTGAGATTGGGCGCAGTCAAGCGCTAATGCCATTCCATCCACCCATCGATTAGTCCATCTACGAGGGCGTTTCTAATTGGTCAATATCGCCTGTCCGTACATCCAGCCCCATTTCCCCAGTGCACTAGTGTGTAAGTGTGTCTGTCCAGTGTATGTCTGACTTACATGCTAGCTCTTGCTATCTGGGCATACGCCTCTTTTTGCGGCCTGCTGAAGGTGACTGTTGGTTGGCTATTTTTAGCAAAGTCTCGCTCGTTAACCAACCTTCTCCTCTCTTGCCTGGTCTCTAGCTCTCTCTCGCTCTAACCGCTAGTTCGTTCTGTCTGTTCTTCTGATTCATCGCACTTAGTCGACTTTACTTCTATTTGTTTAATTATTGATTCTTTCATCATTCTCGAGAAGCGCTTATTCTCTAAGTATTCCGGGATTTATTGGCAATTTCTTTTCTAGCGACAACATTTTGGTAAGTTTTATGTCACTTCAACTTGTTAGAAAATCTAATTTCATATTAGCCGATAGGATTGTAAGGTTATTACTTCAGTTATATCGACAAAAGTACGATAATTCATCTAAATACGCTTTATTGAATGAATAAAGCTAATTTTATTCGTCACGATTTTCATGATTAAATGAAAATGCGACTTCCTGCTTTTTATCTGTTTTCTTCTATCTAGTTAACTCAGGGTACCGTTTAAGCAGTTCACTGACCCGTTTTGTATTACAATGTTTGACGAAGTTGACGGAGTATCTCTTAAAACTCTTATAAGCGCAATATTTTCCACCTGTCAATATTAATGCATCCATATCTAAAGCTATTTCAATATTGTTGTGTTTGTCGTTTTTGCCTTGTTTTGCTGTGTTAGTTTATATTTTATCCATTAACTGTTGGAATGGCTGAACATTTGTTTTGGCATAATTAAAATCGTTCAAACATTACTTCCAATTATCTCTTGGAGATCGAAGATCTTCTTACTTGTCTTTTTTATAAAAGCTAAATTTTATTGACAGTTCAATGTTTAGCAAATTGAAAGTGTGAAGCTTTCAATAAAGGCATATTGATCCCTTTTCCAAGAAATATGATTCTCACACAATTAGGGACTAAATTCAACGACTTATGACCATAGGATAAATTGGTGATTAAATCGGTTATATGAACGTGTGTTATGATGATGCAATCAACGCGACATATATGATGATTTGGGAAGACAAGGCAGTGTCGGGTTTATTGATTGTGAGAGAGTGGGGGGAGGGGTAGAGCTTTGCTTCGCCTGCCCTTGCTAATTTAGCTTTGCGCCTCAGCTTGTGAACTTTGGTGTTTGGCACGAGCGCGCACATTTTCAATGCACCGATGGACCAATCCAGTGAGGCATTACGTGTTTCTATCGCGTCGAGTGGAAATGTTTGAGTTGGTACACTGACTAAATAGCCAAAAACCCCATCGTATTAAGGTTTCACTGATCTCTTGACCTGACTCCCCTACCCTTTTAATTCATTGGCAATTAAAGGCTTCAGATTGAAAATGGCAAAAGTGATAAATAGAGGAGCTATTTATTTTTCTATTGTGTGTTTTAGGTGAATATTGTCTCTGTTGTAGAAAAAGCATCTAACAGCTTTATCTACGATTAGAAGATAAATCTGTTAAAGTATTCGGATAGTTTCACTTAGATTTGTCAGCTATTTTACTTTTTTATGATAATAGGTCGCTGAATACAAGTAAGACCTCTAGGTAATATGCACATACTACTTTGACCCTTTAACGCCCTTAGCACCGTACAGTCCTCTTTCATAGTAAGCTCCATTGGTACTAAGCTCGTAACAGGAGGCGCTATTGCAGTTTAAAGCGCGTTCAATACAACTATAGCCTTCACCTGATACCACCAAAACTCTTCACGTCGGCGTCAATCTGCTGTTAGATACGCGTGAAGGTGGTTGGATGCATTTTAAAAAAAGCAATTATTTGGTCGTTAGAGCACTAATAATATATTAATCAGCATTTGGTTAATAATTAAGAATAAATCAGTTTGACATTTCACTTATTATCTAAATTGTTTTGTTTTGAGTTTCAATATTCTTTTTAGTAAATAAGAATTCACTAGGAAGTCGTAAAAATATCATTTATCGAATTTTGCAAAAAAAGACGATATAGGACCTTTGGAGTTGTTGTCAATTCTTTTCACGTCAAGTCTGCTGACCGCCTTTATTAATCAACTGTAATCCGATCATAAAATGAAATATCATTGTCAAACGTACTTAATGCGAGTTAATTTCGTTGATATTGAATGCCTTTTTCACTTACGTTCAAAGAAGCAAAATGCAAATACTTAAATTATAGCCTCATTGTTTGTCTGTTTTTTTACTAGTAAATCTCATTAATGAAGAGCAGTGCGAATGTTTTGGAGAGGCAATTATTTATATTAATCTCCGGTTTGTTAGATAATATTAATTGACTCACTCCTGACTTCATAATAGTCATTGAATTTTTTGAGATCATTGACTGGTAACTATTTCGTTTATTTTTGTTTCGTTTTTGTACAACTTCTAGTAGCAGGAAATAGAGATCTATAATAACCACAACCACCATGTCCACACTAAACCAACAACGCAAAGTGGTTGAGCAGTTGCGCCTGGAAGCCGGAATCCATCGACGTCCGGTATCCGAATGCATCCGCGATATGATAGGATTTATCGAGCAGTACCGAGACAAAGACTGTCTGGTGAACGGTTTCGCCTCCAAAAAGGACAATCCATTCCAGGAGAAGGGAGGGTGCCAACTGCTCTAACGTATGCGCGGAATGGCGTGACGTGACAGCCTATAACGTTCCCACAAGGCCTGATCTCAGTTAAGTATTGATCAAAAATTTCTGGCTTTGTGTGTATAGAGACGATAATGGAGTGTATATAATCTGCATTTGGCTCCTCGTGTTGTTTGTGTCTGAGTGTCAAATCCCCA